CTTTCTGTGTACAGTTGCTAACTTCTGAGGCTGCCATTTTTAGTGACAGAAGAGTGTTTAGGCTCTAACCAGGGGATTCCAAGGAAGTACCTTTTCTATCCTCCCAGATGGTGCAAAGATCTTTCATGGTCTCTAATGCAAAAGTAGCTGTTTCTCCTCATCTAAGTATTGCCATTAAGGAAATGGGTATGGAACCTCGCGTTCTTTGTCCCTTGTCCCCACAGTCTGGCTGCTGCCCCCTCCCCCACCCTATAGCCTGTGCATTTTCTCCCTGGGCTCTTTCTGAGGAGCTGGGGGAAGCAGCTGGGCCTTCCACACCCTGGCACTAGCAGAGCTAAGTGCCCGATGTCTAAATTGGTGCCAGTCACGGGCTGCGAATCCTGACTAGAGCTCTCCTGTTCCTCAGCCTCATGGCCTTCTTACCCTAGTACCAGAGTCAGCCTCTGCCAAGCTCAGCTCACAACTGCTCCTCTTGGACTGCATGCTTAAGGGGGGGCGGAGGGTTGGGTTTTTCTCAGGCCTCTTTTTCACTTTCTCCTGTGTTGGTGAGAACTATTAAGGTCACGCATTTAGAAGCAGGTGGGTTTGGAACCCAGAACAGGCTGCGTGCCCTGACGGCATTCCAGTCAAGACAGATGGACCACATGTTCGGCCAGGGTCCCACGAGGAGCCGAAGCCTAGGTGTGTGCTAGGCTGTGCCGTCTGTGTGTGAGTGCACTCTGCGATGTGAAACCACGGAGGCGCCCAGCGGTGCACGTGTCAGAACACAGCTCTGTAGTTCAGTGAGGCGTGCGCTGACTCCTTGGTCATCTTACTGAGCTAGAGCTCCTCTATGTTAACCAAACTATGAGGACTGTTACCTTTTTACTCTGCTTTCCCTTTGAAACTATGATGAGTTCTGTTCAATCCGTATGAGTTGTGCTGCTAAAATTGCACAAAATAACTAATATAATCACGTGGTACAGCATTTAAAATGTACAAAAGGGACACAGTGAGAAGTCTCCCTTTTCTCCTAAGACGAACTGCAGACTTTGAAAAACGAATCTCACTCTATTACTAGTGTATGACATCTCCTCACTGGGGGTGTGGTGGGGAGAGCTGACCTAAGTGACTTTGGAAAATGTTTTGTCTGGAAACACTGTAAGGCTGAAGACAAAAACTGCGCATAAACACTGTACTCTGCGTATAAATTTGTTTCTCAGGGGAGTTGGCAGTTCTGAAAGTAATTCACAGTTATACCAAGGTCAAACAAATAGTAAACGGTAGGTAATAGGAAGCGCTTTCCTTGGTATCAGAGAAGTTATAAATAAGCAAAGTGGGAAGGCTAGGGGAGGAGCCTTGTGGTACAGGATTATAGTTAGAGACTTAATGTGATCTTGGGTTTAGTTTAATATATGTGGGTAAGTACATACGGTACATATGTATGCACGGGCTAGAATATATACATATGTGTTTCTCCTAGGTCTGCTGAGGGGACCCAGCAGTGACATCTTACTAGCAGTGTCACATCCACACCCAGATCTTGGTTTCTAAATACCATTCTCTTTCTTCTATTTCTTCTAGATGTGAAATCCGGCAGCTATACAGTGTTACAGGTGGTGGAAGCCCTTGGGTAAGTGTGTGCTCTAGAATGCTCACATCCCTGCTTGCACACTGAAGTCACATGTACATCGCTACTCTTCTAGAGTGCACACTCCCCCTGCAGCCCAGCACCACCCCTTCTGTATCAATACCTCAGTTGAAACCTCTCTCTTTTAATTATTTCTCCTGAAAAAAAGCTTCATGTCGCCTGGCTGAGGCCTCTTAAGGTAGCAACTGGGAGGACACAGCCGTGGGCACATGAGCTCCTGGCTCAGCCCACAGGTTCAGGCTGCAGTGGGTGGTTGAGGGCCATCAACTGTGGTTTAATTAGAGCTGGGATTGCTCCTGTGCTGTTTCAGCCCCGCTCACCCCAGCATGATTCTAGTCAGCTTGGACCTGACTCACAGGAGCTGTGGGCCCTGCCCGGGGCATCGCCAGGCAGCTGGCCCTGCACCAGACCCCCAACTGAGGAAAAAGGTTCGGGAAGCAGCTGGAAGAGCAATGTGAGAACCAGTGACTCCAAGCACCAGAAGAATAATGTGTTTATAGTCTAATGCCTGCTTTCCTCATGTTTCATACCTGGAAGACCATTTAGATGAACAGGTCTTATTAGAAAAGGTTATTAGCTTTCATAGCTAGCATGTCTTAAAACAGAACACTAGAAAATCAGGGAAGTAGAGGACCAGCAGTTGACATAATGGCTGTGTCGCTGGACACCCATGTAGTTGACCACGGTTTGAGTCCCGGAGCCAGTGGCTTAAATTCACACGGTACATGTGTGTGCATGCCCAGGATCCCGAGAAGAGAATGAAGGAGAAGGGACTGCAGAGTGGCCATCCCCCCGGGGTGTGATTTCTCACTTTGTCTCTCTGTCTGTCTCTTTCTAGTGAGCCTATAGCAAAAACCTCTCAAAAAAAAAAAAAGAAAGAAAGAAAGAAAGAAAAAGAAAATCAGGGAAGTAAAAGAAAAACTAACTGTTAAGCATTTCTCCCACATAACATACCTGTTGGCTTTTCTATTCACAGTGTTGTGGCCTTGATCTGTTCTTTAAAAAAACATTAATTCACATATCATAAAGGTCCCTATTTTAGGGTATATAATTTCATGGCTTTTACTATATTCACAGATTTGTACAGTCCTTGCCATAATCAATTTGGGAACATTTTCACTTCTCTAAAAAGAAAACGCTAGCCATTAGAAGTTATTCCTCCTTCTCTCTCTTTCTCTCTTTTTTTTTTTCTTTTAAAGAGAGATTTTTGCTACAGGGTATGTGTGCTCACCAGAGAGATAGGAAGTGAGAAATCACCTCCCCAGGAAAGATGGCCATGCCACAATCCCTTCTTCTACATTTTTCTCTTGGGATTTTGGGGGCACACACGCCTCAAGCCTCTGGGTCCCAGACTTAAACCATGCTCAACTATATGGGAGTCCAGCAACGTAACCACAACACCATCTGCTGGTCCCCTCCTTCTCTTCTCTTCTCAGCTCCTGGAAGTCATTCATCTATTTTCAGTCTGTATTGATTCACCTTTTCTAGAAATTATGTACACGTGGAATCCCGCAGTGTGTGACCGTGCATCTTTCAGGTTTTGTGAGTTTTAAGGCTCGTCCATGTTGTAGCATATGTCAGTTCTGTATTTCTTTACATGCTGAATAATATTCTGTTGTACAGATAGGCCACATTTTGTTGAGTCAGTCAACAGTTGGTGGGCATCTAAACTGTGAGATTATTTATTTTGTCTATTGTGTGAAGAACACTCAGCAAGGTCTTTTTTTTTTTTTTTTTTTTTGGAGAGGTTTTTGCTATAGGGCGCGTGTGCTCGCCAGACAGGGAGGGACAGAGAGACAGAAAGCGAGAAATCACCCCCCGGGGGGGGATGACCATGCCACAGTCCCTTCTCCTCCATTCTCCTCTCAGGATCTTGGGCATGCACGCATACGCTCCCAGCGTGAGTTTTAAGCCACTGGGTCCAGGACACGAACCGCGGTCGACTATATGGGAGTACAGCAACATAGCCATTACGCTAACTGCTGGTCCCTCAGCAGGGTCTTGATACCACAGTCCACCCCCAGCTTCAGTCAGCCAGAGTCAGGACATGTGCATGCCCGGTAGTTCACAGAGTCAGGGCCTTTGACAGCCTTGGCATTGTGCAGCTTCACGTTTCTGCTGTGCCCTGCAGTTGGCTGGTTCTTTCTGCTTTTTGGCTATTCCAGATACTGCTACCTGAGTGTTTGTGTTTGGGGCTGTTTTTGTGTTTTTCCTGTATTCATGATGGAGCACCTGTGTGCACATATGAGAGAGAGAGAGAGCACCCTCCACAGGATCTGGTCAGACTGCAGTCCCCTTTCTTCCATCCTATCTTGAGGATCCTCTCGGAGTGATCTTGTGTCCCATTTCTCCCACTGATGTATCTCCTTGTCCTCAGGTCTGACATAGCTGCTGTGGGCAGAGACCTTTGACTTGCTACTGAGATTACTTCTTAGAATGTTTAAGTGTTATCTCTGTAAAGCTATTTCAAAGCTAAGTCACCTCCTTGTTGGTTCAATCTAGCTTCTCCCATACCCCCATACCAGTGACCCTACATAGTTAAAACCTTTGTTCTGGCCATCTTACTTTCTAATGTTCCAGTTATAAAGCGCACATATGTGCCCACGCACACGTGTGTGTGTGTGTGTGTGTGTGTGTGTGTGTGTGTGTGTGGTGGTTGCCCCCCAGGACCTCAGTTGTTATTCTCCACCACAGTACTTTATAAAAATATATTTATTCTCGGGGACCAGCAGGCGTAGTGGTTAAGGTGCTGGACACTCCCACATGGTCGACCACGGTTCGAGTCCTGGACCTGGCGACTTGCTTTCTCACTTTCCTCTCTCTGTTTGTCTCTCTCTGGTCAAATTAGAATGAAGGAATGAATGAATGAATAAATAATAAATCTTTAAATATATATATATTTATTCTCCTCTTGTTTTGGTAGAAGCCGCAGGTGCCAATTGTCTCTCAAGCCCTGTGGGTAGCTGCCTAGCTCTATTTCAGAGGGATGCCACAATGATACCACTGGGGAGGAAGAGTAAGCAGAATGCTCATTAGATGCCAGCTGGGGCCGCAGTGTCACAGGTGCCTGTAACGATGTGCCAGGTCAGTGTAGGGCTCAGTTCTTTAGACTTCTGTCCTTACTAGTGTCTTTCATGCCATAACTTCAGGAATACTTTCTTGGGCCAGTTTTACTCTTTGTAAGAGGGTTTGGCTCTGCTTCCTTGCTCAGGTGTGGAGTGTGACTCAAAATATTTATCCCTTTCAAAGTTTGAACTGTAGGGACCAGCAGATGGCATAATGGTTACGTTACTGGGCCCCCACATGGCTAATCGCAGTTCAGGTTCCAGACCTGCCGGCTTAAAACTCTCGCTGGGCTCATGTGTACGCATGTACAGAATCCCAAGAGGAGAATGGAAGAAAAGGGATTGCAGCGTCGCCATCTCCCCTGAGGGGTGATTTCTTGCTTTCTGTCTTTTTCTCTGTCTCTCTAGTGAGCACACACTCCTTATAGCAAAAATGTCTTTTAAAAAAGTTTGAACTGTGGGGACCAGCAGATGGCATAATGGCTACATCACTGGACTCCCATGTAGTTGACTATGATCCCAGACCTAGCAGCACACACCAGGCACGTTTGCATGTGTGCCCAAAATCCCAAGAGGAGAGTGGAAAAGAAGGGATTTCAGCATGGCCATCCCATCGTGGGGGGTTGCGTGTGTAATTTTTTACTTTCTGTCTCTCTGTCGAGCACACATACCCTATAGTAAAAATCTCTCTTTAAAAAAAATATTTGAATTGTGTCATGGCAAGCTCTCTCTTGCCTACTTTATCCCAGGTCTTCTCTAGAGAATCCAGAACCCCGGACTCGGGCACGAGGAATTCAGCTTCTGTCACAGGTGCTGCTCCAGTGTCATTCCTTGCTCCTGGAGAAGGAAGGTACTGGCATCACGAGGGGGATGTCTTCCTGGGCGTAAGGTGTCTGAGCTGTTAACTCAGGGTCTTTTCCTCTCTGGTACAAGTGGCAGAGGTGATCGGAAGTAAGACATAAGACACGCAGATTTCACATGTAGTCTTAGACAGCTTTTGTTTTTTTACCGTATCTTTCACCACTCTGCAAAGTGGACAAAGTAGTCTTTCATGCACAGAGAGAAAAAGTAATGAAATGTAAAAATCCTTTGAGGTTCTAAGAAAAAAAAAACAGTAACTTGCTTACCTTCTATAACAGGGGTAGGCAAGCTACAGGCTGTTTTTATAAATAAAATTTAATTGGAATGCAGCTTCACCCATTTACCTACCTATTGCTTTCATGTTACAATGGCAGTGTGGGGTAGCTGCCTCAGATGTGTTCTGAGCACCTGTACTGTTTACTGTCTAGTCTTTTAAGAAAAAAATTGCAAATCCCAGTTCTGTAGAAGACAGGTACAGGACTGAGAGTGGGTTTTACTGTGAACCTGTATGCAAGTGGGTAAGGAGAGATGTTCTGCTGTTTTCCTGACTTATCAAGTCAAGATTCCTTCAAATGGGAGGGCATGGTTTATATCCTGATGAGTGAGAAAATGTGAAGTGAGGCCCAAACAGGAACAACCCTTACAGACAAGGAAGGAACAGAGCTAGCGGGTCGTTCTCACGCCTGTGTAACCTCGTATCTGAATGTCGTTTGTGCAGTGGTCCACCTGGTCCTGTTCTATGAGAACCGGCTGAAGGACCATCATCTGGTGATCCCTTCTGTCCTGCAGGGTCTAAGGGCACTTGTGAGTTCTCCTTTTCGTTACATATCTGTGTTTGCGGAGACTTTATCCCCATCCAGTTTTCCCCTTATCTTTTGGGGTGAGGCTTCAGGTACATAAAAGCAGATGCTCAAATGCGGGGCTAAATAAAGTAGTGTCAAGCAGCTCTGCTTAGGTTTTACTCTAGAGAGTAAAAGCATCCTTTGGGGAACTGAAATTCAGAGCCAAACTAGAAGGAGCTATAGAGAACTAATTGGCTTGATAAAGCATCTTACTCTTAGTACTTCTTCTTGAACCAGGAAGTTATGTTTTCCACTGCAGCTAACTAAGCCTGCTGTGGGTTTTATTGTGGAAGCCATGCTATATTCCATCAGTGTTCATGTATCTTCCCTTCTGCCCCAGAGCCTGTGTGTGGCCCTGCCCCCAGGACTGGCTGTCTCTGTACTTAAAGCCATCTTCCAGGAGGTACATGTTCAGGTGAGTGGTAACTGTCTAGTTGCTATTCTTTGTCTCCCTGGCACTAATATAACTAGACTCAGAGGGCAAGAGCCATTGCTCTCTAAGTTCTGAACTCTTGTGGATCCTTGTGCACCATAGTTATATGTCATTCCTTGCTACCAGATAAGGAGAAGGATGCATGCCAGTATGTTTGACCTGTGTCCTCTTACACCTAAAGAAAGTAAAGCACCCATCAGACAGGTCTGGGCTGTTGGCATCATTGCTGGACTGCTGTGTCAGTAGCCATAGTTCCCTACAGTTCCTCTTAGGTTGAGCCTATGCTGGTATAGAGAGCACTGTCCAATTGGAGGTGGTAAAGCAGGAAGTAGTTCTGTCAGTGGAGGTAGTCTTTGATCTTCACTGACTTCCTTTCTCCTCTGTCCTGTCAAGTCCCTGCCACAGGTGGACCGGCACACAGTCTACAATATCATCACCAATTTCATGCAAACCCGGGAAGAAGGTGAGAATAGGGCTGTGGGGGATCTGAAAATCAAGCACATCTTAGTTTCTTTTCCCCACTAGTAGGGACTCATCTACTCTCGGGGTTATATAGAAGAGCGAGTATTATGAGAGAAAAATGTTACGGGCAAACTGAGAGTCTACTCTCTCTCCAGTGAAATAAAGGAAGGCAGAGTTGTTTGAGCCTTTGTTTCAGATTCTGGCCTCTGCAACAGTATATGTATTTGGTGAACATCCCCCAGTACTTCTCTTGGAATAGAGACAAAAAAATGTTTTGTTTTTTTTTCTCTGAGGCAGGAAAGGAGACTGTATTAGTCTGTTATCGCATTGCTAACAGAAATACCTGGGAAATGAATAAAGAAATAGAGGTTTATTTGACTCACGATTCTGGCAACTGGAAAGTCTAAGGCTACATCGTAATATAGCTGACAGAAGCAGAGAGGGTGGTGGACACATGCAGAAGGCAGGCATCCCACTCTCCAACAACCAAACCCTCTTCCCAAGAGCTGGAAGTCAGTCTCTCACAAACATTTATCCTTTCATGAAGCCAGTTTCTCCATAATCTAGTCACCACCCACTAGGACTATGTTCCAAAACATGACCCTTTGAGAATAAACCATTATCTAGACCACAACAGGGAGGTCGTGACAGCAGAAGGAGAACACAAGCCAGAGGAAAGCTAAATCACTCTATCCCTTGGGATAGTTTGACCTTGTTCTCTCCTCCCCAGAGTTAAAAGGCCTAGGAGCTGACTTCACCTTTGGCTTCATCCAGGTGATGGATGGGGAAAAGGACCCCCGTAATCTTCTGGTGGCCTTCCGCATTGTCCATGACCTCATCTCCAGGGACTATAGCCTGGGTATGTCTTGGAAGCTGTGAATTAGCTGGTTGGGGCTTGTGAGATGAGTAAAGATGATAAGTCAACCTCATTCTTTCTCTGTTGCCACAGGACCCTTTGTGGAGGAGCTGTTTGAAGTGACGTCCTGTTATTTTCCTATTGATTTTACCCCTGTAAGTAGCACCTTCATTCATTCATTCAAATATTTGTTGAGTACCCACCATGTCCTGGGCCCTGTCTAGGCCTTTAGGGTACAAGTAAACGAAACAGTCCCTGCTGTGGTGAATTTACATTTTAATAACCTGGGAAATAGAAGCATTTGACATCAGGAAGGAGTTAAAGCAGATATTTAGGGGCTCTTCATCAATGCACTTGACACTGAGGGCTACAGTGTTGTAAAGCATGGTCCCTGCCCTTGGAAGCTGAAACATTTAAGTAACAGTATGATATTAGGTACCCAAATGAGTGATGCTGTAGTTGCTCAGAGGAGACAGGTTCAGTGTGAGCTAGAGTAGGCAGGAACTAACCTCACAGATAAGATAGGATTTCAGCTGGTTTCCAGGGATGCATAGGATACAATTCTGGAGGTAGAGGGCTTCTCAAGTGGTAGAAACAAAGTGACAAAACTGAGAAGGCACAGTTGAGCACAGTATGTCTAAGAAGTTTTTTGCTCTGACCCTCTCAGGCCTGCCTCCCATTCTGCACTTGATTTTGTCTACTTCCAGATACTCAGGGGTCTCCTGTATGGGCACGTGTGGGTGTGCGTGTCACAAGCATTAGTAGTTTGGAATAAATGAAAGGAGTTCTGTTGCAGTTCTTCAAACATCATGGGAATGTTGACTCCCTCCACCTTTAAAATGACATAGCCATCTTTGCTGTGGGGAATTTCTTATCTTAGTTGACATGTAACTTGAGACCACCTCTCCCAGTTCTTATCATCCCTTTCATAATCATATCCCTGTTCCTAATACAGAAGACCATCTCTGCGTTTGACATTTTAAAGATCTTATTTTGACTACCAAACTCTTATTTTGTGTTTTGCTTTGTTTTTGAAAAGATAATACATTTGCATAATTTGAAGTCCAAAAGATAAAAAATGGTGAGAAATCTCTCTACCACCAAGTTTCTTTGTTGTCAGCCAGGACCAGCATATGTCTTAGTAACCCTTTTCATTGATTTTTTTCCCTCCATTTCTACACTCATGCTTTGAATTTCCAAGAGTTCTGTTGCTGTTGATCTCTGAATATCTTCTAGCTTTTCGTTTTTGTTTCATTCATGGGGGGATTACCCACTTATCTCACTTGAAAATATTAATGATACATTACATTTGAATAGTTCTTCTCCCTTGGGAACCAGCAGTTAGCGTAATGGCTATGTCGCTGGACTCCCACGTAGTTGACCGTGGTTCGCGTCCTGGACCCGGTGGCTTAAAACTCATGCCGGGCGCGTGTGCGTGCGTGCCCAAGATCCCGAGAGAAGAATGGAGGAGAAGGGATTGCGGCGTGACCATCCCCCCTGGGGGGGTGATTTCTCGCTTTCTGTCTCTATGTCTCTCTCTGTCTGTCTGGCGAGCGCACGTGCCCTATAGCAAAAATCTCTCCAAAAAAAAAAAAAATAATAGTTCTTCTCCCCACTTAGTCCTTGTTTCCTCCAAGTTTGTTTTTTTTTTTTTTTTTTTCATTTTATTTTGGTAATTCTTGGGAGTCTGCACATGTTTCAGAGAGGTTTATAAAACTGAGTGGGAGCTTTGAGCACAAGGGATGGGCTTGTTGAGTGTGAACCTTCCTTATAGAGTGACATGCATGAACAGATTGGGAAAACCCCAAGTATTCTTCCTCTTGGGCTAGTCTTTTTTTTTTTTTTTTTTTTTTTAAAGAATTATTTATTTAATTTGGTTTGTTCATTCATTTATATTTTTTAATTTGGCCAGAGAGAGACACAGAGAAAGAAAGGGAAAGTGGAAAAGGAAGCCACCAGGTCCGTGACTCAAACGGTGGTTGGCCATGTGGGAGTGTCCAGCACCTTAACCACCATGCCACCTGCTGGTCCCATGGACTAGTCTTTTTTTGCCATAGGGCACATGCACACTTTGGAGAGAGACAGAGAAAGTGAGAGATTGCTTGCCAAGAGCGATGGCCATGCCATAATCCTTTCTCTCTCCTCTCAGGATTTTGGGCATGCACGCACATATGCCCGGCATGGTTTTCAAGCTGCCAGGTCTGAGACTTGAACTGAATCAGCTGTTTGGGAGTCCAGTGCCTTAACCACTATAGCACCTGCTGACCCCTTGGGCTCATCTTTTTTCTTCTGGAAAAAGACCTTGGACCTATGTTGAGGGAGAGGTCTGACTGTAGGCAGGTGGGGCCAGAAGGAACTGAAAATTTCAGCATCACTCCCATGCCATGTAGGCTCCTCTTTTAGTACAGGCCCCAGACCCTTCATTGCACCTGCATCTCTAAGACAAATGACCTCAGTCCTACCTCTCTGGAGGAGTGAGCCCCCAGATTCGGCCACAGTTTGGAAGGAGTTTGGAGGCAATCGAGGAAATCAGATTGCTTCTCTAACCCCATCCCCCCCCAAAAGGTGCCTGGTGATGCCAGTTCATTTGGCTTTCTCAAAGTCCGCCTATGATTCCATCGTTTTGGGTCTGTTAAGTCATTTTCTTCTTATCTATTATTTAGCTTCTAAAACTTGGTCACTAATATCTCTTATCCTGTTCTCTTCCACCCCTAGCCTTATGTCTTTTATAAAAAGAAAATCCCTTTGCTGTATTTTTGGTGGAGGAGTTTTCAAAGGGGAAAGAAAAATCTCACTCATGTTTTCAGTCTGCCATCTTGATACAGAAATCACCAATGCTTTCATGTTGTCAGAATTACTGTTTTTTATAAGGGTGAAAAAAATGGACATTAGAGAGGAATTTGTAAAACAAATGAGCTCAACTACACGAGATAGTATCAACCACTAAAACTAATATATGAAAGAATAATTATAGGGGCCAGCTGGTGGCATGGTGGTTAAGGGCACTGGATTCCTACAGGGCCAACTGCAGTTCAAGCCCTGGGCTTGGTGGTTTGCTTTTTCACTTTGACTTTCTCTCTTTCTCTCTCTCTCTCTCTGGTCACATTTTTTAAAATGATAATAATAAATGAAATTAAATAATTGTTTTTTAAAAAAAGAATTTATATACCATAGAAAAATGGTCTTAATATGTTAAGTGAAAAAAATAGATTATAAACAATATTCACATTTTTAAAAGGCACATATGTTTTATAGGGAAACGGTATATACTGACACATAGTAACTATATAATGTACAGGCAAGAGAGCCATGCACCGGAAAGTTGAAAGGGTGCTTTTATCTGAATGGTGAGACTTAGCTCACATAGAGAATGTGTGATCATTAATTGTTTCTGAAAGTGCCTAAAAGACATTCCCAAGGAGCAAGCATATATCCTCACTGGGGCCTCATATTATATTATTCTTCCAGATCAGGTGTAAAATATCACCCTATTCTATAGGGTTGCCAGGTCCAAGCTTATGTCCAAAGGTGGTCTGAAGAGTTACACAAACACTTGGACCTTCTCGTTTTCAGCCACCGAATGATCCCCATGGTATCCAGCGAGAAGACCTCATCCTGAGTCTTCGAGCAGTACTGGCTTCTACATCACGATTTGCTGAGGTGGGTCTAGCCCAGGTTAGGGCATGTAGCTTCTGTCCATAAAAGGCTCTGAAGAAAGAACATTAGAAGCTTCAAGAAAAAAACGATTCTGCGTACATTGTAAAGTATGACACCTGCAAGTGTCTTAGGTGGCAAGCATCTTCAGACCTTCAATGTAGAAAATTGGGCCACACTTAGTAGCAAGGTTGGTTTACAGTGACACTCCAGACCTGAGTGCAGCTCCTTGGTGTAGCACCTGCCCCTGGGCCTGGTGGCAGTAAGGGCGCATTGACCCTGGTACAGGACACTGCCCATCTCAGGCTGAACCTTTTTCTCTCCCTTAGTTCCTGCTGCCCCTGCTGATTGAGAAAGTGGACTCCGAGATTCTGAGTGCCAAATTGGATTCTCTGCAGACCCTGGTGAGTGAGTTTTTTTCTCAGGATTCAAGTGCCTTTAGAAAGTTAAGGGCTCCAAAAGATAACGATTCTCAGTAAGCCAGGAGCCAGTTTGTGGGTCTCAGAGAAGGAGTCTCCAGGGTCAGGCCGGTTGACCTCCAGCCCCAGCAGCGCCTCGTCTCCTCCTGCAGTAACCGAGCTGTAACTGAGGAGCTGAGCAGGGCTCCCTCATTATGCTGCTGTTCCCTCAGTCGGGGCGAGCCCCTGTTTTCCTGTGCCTGGGTAGGACCATTAGGAATTTCTGCTGAGAGCCAGGCTCCCTCAGGTACCATGATGCGGAGGTGCTGGCACGCCCTGGGACACCCACATGTGCAGATAGCTGATACCCGCAGTTCCCTTGGCAGAACGCGTGCTGTGCTGTGTATGGGCAGAAGGAGCTGAAGGACTTCCTCCCCAGCCTTTGGGCTTCTGTCCGCAGAGAGGTGAGTGTTACTTAGATAATCTCACTGTTGGTAACTCCCTATTGTCAGGCTTGAGGGGAGAGAATACACCCTGTCCTTTGCCTCCGTTGTCCCCAGAGCAAGGTCCTATGCCTGGTCGTCCAGTAAGCAAACAAGGGGGTATATTTCTAGTTGAGTGACAGGGCGAGAGCCCTGTGAGTCGGCTGTTTGGTGATAATATCTGACCACCTCTGCACAGTGTCTGCTCTCTGTCCTTCCATGGCCAGAAGCACAGGTCATGGTGCCCCTGGCACCATGATGAATTGACTAGGAGAGAGAGTTAGGCTAGGGCATCCCAGCAGCAACAGCTCAGAGCTGGCATTCTGTTCTTTAAAATTATGGATATCAGTCAATCCCTAGTGGGACGAAGGAGTTGGTGAGACTACACCAGTTGAGGAGGCACTCAGTTAGGGTATTAATTTCCATTGTTGTGCCCTAAAGGTTCTCAGCTCCCCCTCCCCAAGGAAATAGGGAGTGGATGGGTGGGGTCTCATCTGGTGCAGGCTCACCTCAGTAGCCATGGGATCCCTCCCTGACAGGTGTTCCAGACGGCAAGTGAGCGGGTGGAGGCAGAGGGCCTGGCGGCCCTCCGCTCCCTGACTGCGTGTCTGTCTCGCTCTGTGCTGAGGGCTGATGCCGAGGACCTCCTTGACTCCTTCCTTAGCAACATTCTACAGGGTAATGGGGCCATGGCAGCCAGAAAGGGGAGTGAGCACAACAGAGATGACCTTCCTTAAGGGCCAGTGACCTTCCGTGTATACCTCCCACGTGTTTAGTGACTGGGGGCTGCGGCCCTACTTTGAACTGAATCAGTTTGCGTGGTAACTGCTAGCAAACTATCCCAGGTGTCCACTCCAACCTCTGCAGGCTATAGGGGTCGGGCCACTTGCAGCCTGCCCTGGGTCTGTGATGTGCTGCCTCTCCAGACTGCAGGCACCATCTTTGTGAGCCAGACATGAAGCTGGTGTGGCCCAGTGCCAAGCTGTTGCAGGCTGCTGCAGGAGCGTCTGCCCGGGCCTGCGAGCACATCACCAGCAACGTGCTGCCTTTACTGCTGGAGCAGTTTCACAAACACAGCCAGGTGAGGTCACAGACTGGGGGAACACCGGGACTGCATTTTTGGGCCTCTTTGTCAAAGAGAGGAGCTGAGCTTCGGCTTGGGCCCAGACCGTATGTCTTGGGTTTAGCTTCCATTAACTGCTGCCGGTTCCCTTCTCCCCTCTCCTCCTGACTTGCACTTATATAAAAGGATAATTCATCACCACTGAGTAGCAGTATTGAAAGCCTTTGCAGTCTTCTTTGACCCTAGTACCCCTTGAAACATTACAGAGCAACCAGCGCCGGACCATCCTTGAAATGATCCTGGGTTTCTTGAAGCTGCAGCAGAAGTGGCACTATGAAGATGAAGGTGAGAGCGGCCTCAGTCGTGGTGTCCTGGGACTGTCCAGCCCTGCAGCCTGCAGACAGCAGGGCAGAGTGCCACAGAGAGCAGCCTAGAACGTGTCCCGTTCTGAGGTTATAGCATAAGAGGACACTTAACGGATGAGATCTGTTTCTTTTTTCTCAGTGTTCTTCCCAATGCTCCAAGTTATCTTTGCAAATCTGCTGAGCCAGGTATACGGAATGTAAAAGGGCTTCCTTCTAACCTGACCTCTGTCTCTCCATAGATCAAAGGCCTCTGAGTGGCTTCAAGGACCAGCTGTGCTCACTAGTATTCATGGCCCTCACGGATCCCAGCCCCCAGCTCCAGCTTGTGGGCCTCCGTACACTCACAGTCTTGGGTGCCCAGCCAGGTACACCCTGAGAACATGAGAGAGGATAAGGGTATTGGTCCTTCCCTTGCCATTCTCTGTCCTACATGGAAAGCAGTCTTCCTTCCTTGTTCTCACTACAACTCTGAATGATTTGAGATTTCCAATGGGATTTTTGGAAGAGTTGTGGTGGCTGGAGGGGGAAGAAAGGTGAGATTTTCGTTCCCTTCTAACTTCAGACCTCCTATCGTCTGGGGACTTGGAGCTGGCTGTGGGTCACCTGTACAGACTGAGCTTCCTGGAGGAGGATGCCCAGAGTTGGTGAGAATCTAAAGCAGTGAGATAGAGCAAGCTGCCCCTGCCTCTGTGTTGGCAGCAGCAGATTCAGCAAGGACAGGGCTCTGGGCTTCTGACTCCTGGCTCTCCTGAGGGGAGGTGGGCTCTGAGTTTGGCTCTCACTGGTTGGAGACGTGGGACTGTGCCCTTTTTTGGGCATAATGCCCACTCAGTGTGCAGTACTTGAATTCTCTTCAGCAAGGCGATCTGGGAGCCCACACTCCTGGGTCTACCTGCTACCAGTCTCAGCAAGAGAACAGAGTGCCAAGGCCCAGCTCACGCTTACTGTCCTGTGTCCACAGCAGGCTGGCAGCACTGGAAGCATCAGGAACCCTGGCTACTCTCTACCCTGCAGCCTTCAGCAGCCACCTAGTACCCAAGCTTGCTGAAGAGCTACGCTTAGGTATGTCTGCCCTTCTGTGGCTCACCACCTCCCAATAGGACTTTGGGATCTTTGTGCCTGCCACCACATGGGGAAACCTTGTCTCCTGGGTTACCTTCAGGGGAATCAGACTTGGCTAGAGGAGACAGGCCCGCTAAATGCTCCCGATGTCTGCACTGTCTGCAAGCCTTATCAGCAATATCAACGCACCCCAGCATTGTCCAGGAGACACTGCCTTTACTACTGCAGCACCTCTGGCAGGTGAACAAAGGTAACTGCCAGGAATAATCAGCGAGGTGGGCTGACCTGGAGCTAGTCGGGTTTGGAATTGACACCCTCTAAGGAAATAGTTCTTTTTTTAGGAATTTGTTGTTGTTTTTAATTTTTGCTACAGGGCACAGCCAGAGAGAGGGGGAAAGTGGGAAAGCACCCCCCTACACCCCCATGGGGAGCGGTCATACCACAATCTCTTCTTCATTTCTCCCTCCTTTGGGGATTTTAGGCGCACACACACACAGGCCCATTGTGTTTTACAAGCTTTCGGGTCTGAGACTCAAACCGCATGGTTGGCCATGTGGGATCCGGCTCCCTTAACCACCAAGCTGTGGACTGCTCCTTAAGGTAGTAGTTGTAATCACAGCTGTGTAGAGGAGGTAGAAGAGTGACGTGGGGCTGGCTCCTGGACACAACGTGCTGCTCAAGAGAAGCCAGAGCTCACGTACTGACATGGTTTGAATCCCCGGCACAGCTGGCTTGAAACACACCAGACACACATGCAAGTACCCAAGACGGGGTGGAGGGAGAGGATCATGGCATGGAGGTGCTCCCCTGCCTTTTCTGTGGTGCGTGCACGTGCTCTGTAATGAATAAAGACTTACGTGAATAGTAGGAACATCTGTCTGCTCTTACAGAGTTTGGCACAGAGCAAGCCTCAACTCTGAAGTCTGAATAGATGAAAAAGAACAGCCAAAAGAATGAATGACTTGCTTCTTTAATAAGACGCTTTGGTCTCTTCAGTCGCTCCTCTTTGACTGTTCTTTTCATCACCTATATTGGAAATTCCTGGCAGGACTGCTTTTAATAAAACCCTACAGAAAATACTGACTTTTTCACCACACAGGAAATATGGTTGCAGGATCCAGTGAAATTATTGCTGTCTGTCAGAGCCTCCAGCAAGTGGCAGAAAAATGCCAGCAGGACTCCGAGAGCTGCTGGTATTTCCACCAGACGGCCATACCTTGCCTGCTTGCCTTGGCTGTGCAAGCTTCCATGCCAGGTAACTGCCCCCTCCTTCTACCCTTGAGGTTTCTGCCCCTGACAGTGTTAGCACTGCCACCCTCTGGGGATTGGTGGGACTGCGCTGTGTGCCATTAGGGGCTTACTTTGAGTCCTTTGTCCCAAGAGTGAAATTTCTCTTCAGAGCTAAAGTTGCCAACCTGATCAATGGCTGGAACAAAGTCCACTAGAATTAGCAGTGCTCAAAAGAACGCATACCTCTTTTCCATTTGATTGCTGTGCAGTTAGTTAAGATTGCATGTGGTGCCTGCTACACGGTGAGCACTCGGTATATGACCAGCACCATGACTGGGGCCCATGGAGGTAAATCTGTGTGTGCTTTGTGTTTTTGTTTGTTTTTTACTATAGGGTATGTGTGCTCTTCAGGGGCGCAAGCAACCCATTGTCCTCCCCACCACCTCAGGGGGGATGGCCACATCACAATCCCTTCTCTTCCAGTCTTCTCTTGAGGTTTTGGGCATGCATGCACACATGCCAGGTGTGATCTTCAGGCTGCCGGGTCCAGGACTCAAACCACAGAGTTGGCCACATAGGGTCCAGCACCTTAACCTCTATGCCACCTGCTGACCCAATCCATGTTATCTTTAAATGTTTAAAAGACCAACACTGCTACTCCTGGTGTTAGGAACATCCGTATTAGCTGCCCATAGTTCCCACCGCTGCCTAGTCTCGGGCCACATAGACGTTCCGAGAGCTCTGTGTAGCCCTGGAGACCAGCCTGTTCCAGTGCCTTGCTGGTTCTCAGGACCGACGTGGCGCTAGCCAGTCCCAGCCATGACAGGACCTAATCATGTGGCTCTCTGAACCCTAGTGATGGCCTTGTGGTTGTGATTGTGTGTCTGTGTGTGGTTTGGTTTTGCAGAGAAGGAGCCCTCAGCTCTGCGAAAAGTGCTGCTGGAAGATGAGGTTTTGGCCGCCCTGGTGTCAGTCATTGGCACTGCCACCACCCACCTGAGCCCCGAGTGAGTGTAATCACAGATGTGGCTTGAACCCAGGGAAGAGGATAGCATTTTTGGAAAGAAGCCACAGAGAGCTGTCCTTTGACCTGTATTTAAATGTGGTGGCAGTATTCTGTAAGTCGTGCTGACAAAACAGAAGGAAGATGCTTTTAGTACCATGGACTTGGGGTCTGGGGAGCCACAGGGCAGTGGGTCTCAGCTACACAAGGCTCACCCCAGAGTATTTTGAAATGTACCCCGATTCTTAGTAGATCATATGCGCCAGGAGGATAGGGACTTGTGCCTAGTTCCCTGCTCATCAGCAGAGCCTACGACGGGAGTGGTTCCTCACAGTCTGTGCCAGGTTAACATTTCTTGACCATCAGCTCAGAGCCAGTTCCATTGCTGACCCGCATGAACCCCAGACTGAACAGCACTGCTGTACAGGAGGGCTGGTTAGGGTCCTGGCTCCCTGGTGACACCCGGTCCTGCCCCCAGCCTCGCTGCCCAGAGTGCCGCCCGCGTCGTGCCCCTCTTCTTGGATGGCAACGTCTCCTTTCTGCCTGAGAACAGCTTCCCAAACAGGTTCCAGCCATTCCAGGTGAGAGCCCAGATGATCAGAGGAGGGACAGTCTTAGAAAGTGTGTCTTTCAGACTTCTTTTTAGGGCTCATCAGGGATTGCTAAAGCAGCAGACAGCCTATTGCTGGCAGTTGGGTGTGACAGGGCTTTTCCTCTGTAGGACGGCTCCTCGGGGCAGAGGCGGCTGGTCGCACTACTCATGGCCTTTGTCTGCTCCCTGCCTCGAAATGTAAGCAAGCACACGTGGGAGTCCCCTGTGTTACCCCAGCAAGGGAGGTGGACCCCTGGCAACCCCTGGGCCGAAATGTGCCACGGCTAAACTGACCTTTATTTCCCCTGCTAGAGAAGTTAGTTCTCATCCACCCTGGTCCTTGCTGCCATGTTCTACAGGCGAGTTTACACGTTGTCTGGGTCCACTAAATGGCCAAGTTGTCTGCAGGTGGAGATCCCTCAGCTGAACCAACTCCTGCGGGAGCTTTTGGAACTGAGCTGCTGCTCCGGCTGCCCCTTCTCCTCCACGGCCGCTGCCAAGTGCTTCGCGGGACTCCTCAACAAGCACCCTGCAGGTGTGGAAGGAGACTGCGTCAGGGGCCACCCTGAGCCACCCACTAGTGTTGTCTCCGAGTTTAGTCCTCATTCTCTTTAAGAAAAAAAAAAGAAAGGTCTTAAAACAGCTTCAGCTGCTCAAGCACTGTCCTGGGAGAACAGGGAGAAGACCTTGCAGAGTTCTGCCAGTCTACCTGTACAGTGAGCTGCTGCAGATACACCTGTCCCTGAGAACAGCAGAAGTAGACAGCCTGGGCTGGCTCCATTGCCTGGTTGTAGAGAAAGCCAGATCCTGGGACTGCCACTCCCTCATGGCTGGCTGTGGTCAAGTCCTGGACCCAGTGGCCTGAACTTTCTCACTCTCTGGTCAAATTAAAAAATAATAATAAATAAATTTTTTAAAAAAATTTTTTGAGAGGTTTTTGCTATAGGGCATGTGCGCTCGCCACAAAGGCAGAGAAAGACAGAAAGCGAGAAATCACCCCCCAGGGGGGATGGCCACCCCGCAATCCCTTTTCCTTTCTCCTCTCAGGATCTTGGGCGCACATGCGCCCGGCGTGAGTTTAAGCCACCGGGTCCAGGACTCGAACCGTGGTCGACTACATGGAAGTCCAGCGACATAGCCATTACGCTAACTGCTGGTCGCAAAATTAAAATAATTCTTTAAAGAGAAGAAAGAAGGCCAAATCCCACGTGGCTACACACAGTTCAAGTTCTGGCCTTGGCAGCTTGAGAAACACACTGGGCACCTCTATGTGTATGCCCAAAATCCTGAAAGGAGAGAGAAATGGAGAAGGGACTGTAGCATGACCATTCTCCACAGGATGTGTTTTCTCATCTCCTCCTCTTCTAGTGAGTGCATGTACCCTCTAGGGAAAAAAGTAGCACCTCTGCATAACATCAGGCACTCATAGTCTTTGTTTTGTCTACAGGCAAGATGATATGAGCCCTGTTTTTTTTTTTATAACTTCCCAGAGGGCACAGGCACTCAGCAGAGACGAGGGCGGGGAGGAAGAACGCATCCCCATGGGGATGGTCCCACTGTAATCCCTTCTGTATTTCTTTTCTCAGGATTTTGGGCACACATGCACATGTGCCTGGTATAGTTTTTTAGCCATCAGGTACAGGACTCAAGCCATGTGGGATCCAGCCACCTTCACCACCACCCCATTGGCAGGTCAACACTGTCCCTTTCTAATGGTTTCTCAGGGAACTCTGCAGAGATGGCTTGCGTCCTCCTCGTAAAGGAAATAAGCGTAGTCTTTGCCTCAGTATTTTCTCACCCCTTTTTAGGGCAGCAGCTGGATGAATTCCTGCAGCTGGCTGTGGACAAAGTGGAGGCTGGTCTGGGCTCGGGGACCTACCGTAGTCAAGCCTTCACACTGCTCCTCTGGGTAAGGAGTTGGAATGGATTCTGGTTAGACAGCAGTTATGTCTGATTACATATTGATAAAACGTCCCTGTCTGATCCTGAACCTTAAGTGTCTGTATCTCAGAGTTCCGGGCTGGAGTTCATGCCCTGCTCTCTCTGCTCCAGGTAACAAAGGCTCTAGTGCTCAGATACCATCCTCTCAGCGCCTGCCTCACGGCACGGGTACGTTCCTTGTGGAGATTAGAGACCCTAGGACCTGAACAAAAACTTCCTATTGATTCTGTTCCTCCCAGGAATGACTCCTCTTGGTGTTTTGGATTCTTCCCCCTGCTGCACCTCACAGGCTCTCTTTTCTCCAGCTCGCGGGCCTCCTGGGGGATCGGGAACTAGGCCCCGCGGCGGCAGATGGCTTCTCTCTGCTCATGTCTGATTGCACTGACGTGCTGACCCGTGCTGGCCACGCCGAAGTACGGATTATGTTCCGCCAGAGGTTCTTCACGGATAACGTGCCTGCTTTGGTCCAGGGCTTCCATGCCGCTCCCCAAGGTGAGGAATCTGAGAGGGAGGCCCCAAAGCATTCTGCCTCTCCTTGGCTTGGACACATTTCCCTAAGACAATGTAGGCCTGAGGGACTCTTTAGAGCTTTATTATAGTCTGTACCAGGAGGGATAAACTTTCATTTCCTTTAATGGGCATTTCCTGTTCCTTCCATGCTGTGGAGGCTTTTTTCCACTTCATAGGCTGATTTCTCAGCCTTGTCAGAGACTGAAACTGAATTTCCCAGTGACATATCTAAGCCCAGCTTCTCCCAAGCTTCCCATTGTCCACAGACGTGAAGCCAAACTACCTGAAGGGTCTGTCGCATGTCCTCAACAGGCTGCCCAAGCCTGTCCTCCTGCCAGAACTGCCCACGGTGAGTAGTGCAGTCAGCGTAAGCAGTGCTGAAGCTGTTCTCCCCAGGCTGGGCCAGCACGGGAAGAGGAAGCGGGGCCTTCACAGTATGGC